AATTTGATTTTTATTAATGAAATCATATCTATCTTTTGTAAAGAAGAAGAAGAAGATGTCATAAAAATAAAGCAGGGCACATTTCACTATTAAAATTGTTATCTTATGAAAAAAAAAATTTATATAAAGAGAAAAATAAAAAATAAAAAGATTAAATAATTTTTATATTTATGGTTATTTGGTATTATTAATGTTGAGTTACAATATGTTGCTTGATGTTATGTTGCGAAATCAAATCAATGTTTAGTAACCAGTTATTTTATTATATTTATAAATATTTAAAGCAAGCTAAATAGTGTTTGGTTAAACTCTATTGTTGCATTTTTTTAGATAAAAATAGCAATAAAGAGTTTACTAGGAAAATATTTAAAGCATATTTTATTTATATTAAATAATTTATGATTTTTTTAAACTTACATATGAATATATTTTCTATGAAAGTAATTGTCAATTTCTTTTTTTTAAAAATTGAATATAGCGATAATAGATGTAGACCCATCATTTCAATAAAATTAATGAAATAAAAAATATTTTCAGATAAAATTATATAAAACACTAGCATGATTGGTATTTTCAGATAAAATCGTTTATCAAATATGTTGTCTCCATTGAGTTCTAATTATATATCTTCGATTCTTGGTCCAATGAATTATTGGGTCTAGGTTTTCTTATTTAATTTAGCTTTTTTAATGAGTATTCTAATTCTTGATTGTGTATCCTAAAGTTTAGTTTTTCAGGTTCACATCGTTAGCTTGATAAAATTAAATTTTATTGAAATATTACTTTGTAGTTATTAAAATTAAAATTAAAATGAAATATATAAAAAATAAAGTTTTAAAAAGATTCAATTACTCTATTATGGATTTAAAATAAATATTTTATATGTGGATATTGTTTAGAAACATAAAAAGAATCTTGAACAAGAAAAAATATAGGATGACCAAAATCTCTAGGAAGAAATTAAATTTCGTAATAGAAAATGCTAAAAAAGATAAATTTTGAATATACTAATTATTTTTTTATTTCTACACATATTTTATAGATATAAATATAATACCCACATTCAACATCATCATTTGTGAAAAATTTAACTAGTGGTATTTCGTTCTATCTAAGAAATAAAAATAAATTAAGAAATGTGATTAATATAGTAATACATGGAATGAGAATAACACTATAAGAAAATCAATACAAATCACATATTAAAACATATTGGTCGTAGATGATAAATAAAGAGCTTTATTAAATATTGTGGATCCTTTTGTTTCCATCTCTTTCTTTGATACGTGGAATGCATATCTATTTGAATGAAAATTTCCAAAAACTAATATTTAAATATTTTAAAAAATATTATATATATATATATATATATATATATTATAAGTTTGCCTTCAAATCCACTAGTAAAAAAAATCCATAGATTTAGAACATCCTTTTGCAATTATCCTTTTTTGCCAAATATTAATTTTAAAAAATCTCACTTCTTGTACTTATCATAATAGTCTTCTCCCTCTAGTATAAAATCAAACCTAACATTTTCATCAAATCAACAAAAAAATTAACATACATTTCCTCAATTTTTAAATTAAATAAAAATTATTTTTGAATAATTCTTTGCATATATATTTTCTTCAAAATCTTCAAAAAAAATATTTTTTATTTATTTAATTCTCATCAATCGAACAAAAACCTCAACCTTTATTATTATTTATTTATTTAATAGTAAAGATATTCTCGAGGCAGCTTGCCGTGAAATCAAGTTCAGATTCGTTTGGACAATCAAACAAGCTTCGCAGGAACCAAACTGGGTGAGTTACTCTAATCCTCGTTTTGGATTTCCTTAACCAGACAACCAACCGCACGGTCTTTTATTTGTTAGCCTTATTTAAATAAATAAAAAGAGAAAAGGAAAGAAATAAGACAGCTCGCCGTCAAGGCAGACCCACGTAGCTAAGGGATAAGCGACGAAGCAAAAGTCTGAAATTCGAACCTGTAGGTTCGGATTACACAGCTGGAGACAGGCTGTCTCCAACGAAGTCCCACTTAACTACACGGTCTCTCCTTCTCTCCCTCCCTCTCTCTCTCCCCCTCTCTCCCTCCCCCGCTACCTTTCTCTCGCTACCTTGGTCTTTCAAGTTAGGGTTTTTTTTTATCGTGCTTCGTTGTTGTTGGAATCCCCATTTCTCTTTAGCAGATCAAGCTTCTCTGCTTTGTAAGCTTTCGATTGATCTGATTTTTTCTCATTTTGGCTATCTTTTTTGTCTGCTTGGAGTCTTGCATCTTCCTTTACGATGATTTTTTTTGTTGCGGTTATGGTTTTCGTGTTTTTTTTTTTGCGGTTTTTTCAGTGCATGGTGATTCGGAGATGTTATGAGGATAAGGATAATTTTTTTTTATTTTTTTAAAATCATTTATTTTATATGTTTGGTTGCTGGGAAAGTGAAGAAAATGAAAATTTTGATATTTTTCTTAAACGGTTGAACTTGGAGAAAGCATAAAATTTTACCAAGGTTAATATTTTTCCCCTCGGAATTTAATAAGATCTAAATAATGTGAAACGTTGAGATTTAAATTTGGTAAAGAGGAATTAAGCATGCACTTGGAATGATTTTTTCTAATAACCATATGGAAGAAGTCTATAACGGCCCGTGTAGTGTGTTGTTTGTGATGCAGCATGATGATAACAGGGTTTCTTGTGGTTAATTATTAGTTAATTACTATATGCCAATGTTGTTCTTTGCTGGCAATGATGTTATTGCTTTTAATGGTTTCGTAGTTATTTAATGCTCCATTATGGGCTTTAGTTGTCTTCTTTTTTCTAGGAATTCTGATGTTGATTTACAGATGTGTAACTGATATAATATGCGACGCTGAATTTGGATGAATGTACTTATTTCGTCGTGAATGCCATGGAATGTATGATATATGTGATTTTGTTTGAGTCCTTGTAAAATGTGGTTAAAATTTGGGCAAGATATACTGATTGCAACGCGTCAAATATGCTATTGGTTGATAAGCAGCCTTGTTTTTCTGGCAATCTGACTCCTTTGCCTTACGTGGTAACTCTCAAACATGAACTTATCTGTTTGTAGTTTCTTGTTAAAAGATTCGTTTCAGTCGTGTAATCATTGCAAATGGTTCTTTACTTAATAAAGCTCTTCTGAGCCTGGTACTTGCAGGATTTGGGTGTTGATATGTAAATGACAAGCATGATATAAATTTTGGCACCTTTTTGAGTATTTTTAATTTTTATGCTACAGGTGATTGGGCTGGAAAACTTGAGCCAGACAGAAAGCAGTGATATGTTGTGTTGGGTTTGGATTGATTGATGTCTGGCATCACACATGGGTTTGTCATCATTACTACGTGCAGAGTGAGGGTTGATTGCTCTGGGTGACTGGTTGGTTCAGTTTTCAACAACCTGATTCCAGTATTTTTTGTGGAAATTTCCAAATCAAAATTAATCCTCGGAAGGAAGTGCATGCACGACCAGAGGAGGATTCTTTGTGTCCATGCTGGCAGAGAGCATGCGTGGAATTTGTGCTTCGGGTAATGCCCCTGACGAGTGCTGCTGCCGATGCATTGGGTGTGGTGACAATTTGTCTAGTCGTTATTTTGAGTCTTTTTGGTCTGGTGTGCATTGCTTACTCGTTTTACTTCCGCTCTCGTGTTCGTAGTCAGGGCTTTTCTCAACTCAGCTATTTTAGCGGTCCCTGGATCATCCGAATAAATATCATCTTGTTTGCAATCTGGTGGGGTGTTGGTGAAATTTTACGGTTAAGTTTGTTGAGACACAAGGGTAGAGTGTTGGATGTCCTTGACTACAAATGGCAGGAAACTGTCTGCAAATGCTACATTGTCTCGAATTTGGGTTTTGCAGAACCTTGCTTGTTACTCACCATCATATTTCTTCTTCGGGCGCCCTTACAGAAGATGGGATCGGGAGCTCTTTGTCACGGGTGGAATGGGAAAACCGCATTATGTGTCCTCCTTTATTGCCTTCCAGTGTTTTTCCTTCAGCTTGTTATTATTCTAATTGGGCCGCAATTACGGAGTAGATTGAAAAGGTTGCCTCATTATTTTACAATCACTGCTGCTCATGGGATGCAAAATGCTACCTTTTGCACTTACCCTTTATTGAATACAATCCTTCTTGGGGTTTTTGCTTCTGCACTAACTGTCTACCTGTTTTGGCTTGGAAGGCGGATTTTGAAATTGGTCATCAATAAGGGTTTGCAAAAGAGAGTATACACGTTAATATTCTCAGTTTCAAGTTTCCTTCCATTGAGGGTTCTTTTACTTGGACTATCTGTTTTATCTAAACCAGAGCATTTTCTATTTGAAGCTCTTGCTTTCTCAGCCTTTCTTGCCCTTTCATGCTGTGCTGGGGTGTGTATCTGCATGCTTGTTTACTATCCAGTTGCTGATTCTTTAGCGCTGGGAGATCTTCGAGACTTGGAGGCTAGAAGACATGCTGCCGATGAAACCATTTCCCTGGTTGCAAACCAAAGCAATCTTGAAGAAAGTGGTATGAGCCCAGGCAGAAACTCTGACGCCTCAACCAAGCGTGGATCAATTTCTTTCCGGACTTACCAAAGAGATGGCACTTCTTCAGGGCCATTTGTGGAACTGAGCCTTTTTTCACCAAGTCGAGATGCCACTCCACCAGGCTCACCTCCACCGCTCGGCTGGCCTATGCGCCCGCTTTTGGACCTGAAAACTGGGCGAGGAAGTGAGTTCGCGCAGTGAATATCAATTTTGTGATTAAGAAAAACTGATTGTAAAGGGTTAGTTTCCAAAAGGATTTTTATTATTGGTTTGTTTTCTAGTGTTAGATTATCCTGGTTTTTGGGTCAGTGATTCCAAGATCTGCTTCTCTTCTTTTTGTAACATTTTTAATGTTGATTTTTATTGGCGTCTTTCTAAATAGCCTCTTCAGTTAAGGCAAGGTGCTTTCTCTTGTATTAATAAACCGTAAACAACAATGTCTAAGCTGGATCATTTAGAGGAAGAACTTTTTGCAGCCCAGAATATCTAAAACCATCGCTCCCCTTGGATCCTGTTGGAGATCATGTCTGGTGGATGTATTTCTCCACTCGGCGAGTACCTATAGAACAAGCTATACTCGTTAATGATTCATAAAACCACAAAATATAGTCTAAACTTTAAATCCATGCATAAACCTATAATAACCCTGCATGATACATAGTATAAAAATATACACATCACATTGAAAGAAATAAGATTATCTTTGAAATAGGTCGAGTAGGGCCGGGGAGAATGATCCTTAACTTGTATCCGCATAACTTATATCCACATTTGAAAATTAATTATTTAAGTTAATTTGTTAAACTGGTTATCTAAATTAGGTTATTTATAATTAAAAAAACCAAATAAATGTTATTTTGAAATTGACTTAATAAACCTGCAACATGGATTTTGAACCAGGTTAAACCTTGACCACATAATGATGAATAAAATTGATAAGTTAAGAGGAAAAAAAAGCAAAATAACATATAAGTAAATGGAAATGAATATTTGTTAGCAAAATGTGTCACCCCCACCCCTTTGTTTAACTACGCATGTAATTCTAAAAAGGAAAAGTAGGGCAGGTGATGGAGATGAAGGTCTAATAAACTTGTAAAATCAATAAAGAATGAAATAAAAAAAGAAAGAGAAATGACAATGTTTTGGGAAGCTCCAACAAGATTCAAAGGTCAGAGAAAAAACTTCAAAACCAAGTATGTTTAGTGTCACATTGCAAACAAAGATGATGATGCTTCAAATCCAATATGTGTGGAATTAGGTTCTTTGGTAATTGGATTATAAGTCAATCAAAGTTTATTGTTAAAAAATTTCTATTCTCCATCACCTTTATAGAAATTATCCCATGACGAGTGCCTTCTGGTACTTATAAAAAATCTTTTTTTTAGAAGATTTGAGGACTTTATGACGGCAAAATCAATAACTTTTAAGAGAAAAAAAAGAAGAGAAATGACAATGTTTTGGGAAGCTCTAACAAGATTCAAAGGTCAGAGAAAAAACTTCAAAACCAAGTATGTTTAGTGTCATATCGCAAACAAAGATGATGATGTTTCAAATCCAATATGCGTGGAATTAGGTTTTTTAAAAAATTTCTATTCTCCATCACTTTTATAGAAATTATCCCATGACGAGTGCCTTCTGGTACTTATAAAAAATCTCTTTTTTAGAAGATTTGAGGACTTTATGACGGCAAAATCAATAACTTTTAAGAGAAAAAAAAGAAATAACTACAATGAGAAGCATTAAGTTTCAAGAACCAAAGTGTTTGTTATTGTTTTGAAGTAATAAATATTCTAGCATTCAAAAGTTTTTATCTATTTTGAACCCTTTACCTAAATGGTTCGAAAGATATTTATATCCGTCAACTCTAGTAAGCCCTCTATCTTAGGAGGGTAAAGACATTTATTTCCATCGTAATATTAATGAGAATTATATATCCCTGACATAGCTAATTAATGGCGTATAAATATTCTTACCATTATCATTAACAAAAGAGACAAATATCTATGACATTAACTTCCATAATGGTCTATAAAAAAAAGATATTAGGATTCCTTCTCATCACTTAAAGATCTCTGAAGATGAGAATATATTTTTGCTAGCTGATGTCTATTAAGGGCCTTCCTTGGCATCTAAGTTTGACACTTGACCAAACCCATGCTAAGATGAGTCTGGCATGAGACAAGTCCTTTTAGCACCTAGGTTTAACACTTGGCCAAGCCCATGTCAAATTGGGTCTGCCTAGGGGCAGGTTCCTTTAGCACCTGGGCCTAGGGCTTGGTGGAGCAAATCCTAAGTAGGTCCGCCCTGGGTACATCTCCTTAGCACTTGGATTCTGTGCTTGGCCAAGCTTATACCAAGTTGGTTTCACCTAGGAACAGGTCTTTTTAGCACTTGGTTGAGCCCATGCCAAGTTAGGTCAACTCTAAGGTAGGTCCCTTTGGTAGTTGGCCAAGCTTATGCCAAGTTGAGTCAGCTTAGGGGCACATCCCCTTGACATTTAGGCTCAACACTTGGTTGAGCCTATGTCAAGTTGGGTCTATCTTGGGGCATGCCCTCTTAACACATGGGCTCAACGTTTGTCCAAGTTTATGTCAAGTTAGGTCATCCTGAGGCATGACCTGGCACATGGGCTCAAAATTTGTTCGAGCCCATGCCAAGTTAGGTTCGCCCTAATCGTTTTCTTTTAATGAATGGTTTAACCTTAGTCTTTTATGTGAGGAATGAACTCCCTAGTTTGTCAAAAGATACCGATCATAAACAAGGTAGGTAATTTAAGATACTGTTAGTTAATGTTGTTATTAGTGAAGAAATGTTAACTATTGAAGGATGAAGAGTTACAAGACTTAATTTGAATGGAATTTTTAGCAGGCAGTTAGGGACAATGCCTAAATGCTTGTACTTTGCTACGAACAAGAACATGACTATTATCTGGGTTGAGAATACTTTGTATGGGAACTTGCTTAACCCTAAAAAGATATACATACCATTCTATTACATTTTGCTTTTGACATAAATTTTTGATGAAGTTCAATTTTATCCTATGAGTTTTAAGACTAAGCCAATGCTTGTGATAAGATTATTAATCTATTGATTTTGACAATCTGGTTTATTTTTTCTTGGTAAAATGATCGATGAATTATGCTTAATACCTGCAAAAGATCCATTCTTTAGAGTTTGAGACTCTTCGATGATTAAGTCAATATTATATGAGAGAAAAAATAGTACACTTTTTGAAGAAAGCCATAGAAATATATATATATGTTATTCATAGTATAGAAAAGTCGAACCTGCCTCGTGGAGGTTACATTGGTCCCTTTTATAACTTCTAAGGTCTTTCTTTTCATGAAAAGGAAAAAATATTCACATATCAGCCAAATGTTTATGTATTATTAGGATAAAATATCCTTAACTTATTAAAGAAAATATCTCTAACTGTAAGTTTGACGGTTCGCCAGACCTATGCAAGTCAGGGTTCAGTATCTTGCTAAGCTCGAAGATGAACTGCCAGACCCACATATACTTGGACACATCACTTGGTTTTGGCTCAAAGATGGTGGGTCTGATGGTTCGTTAAACCTATGCATCGTTGAGCTCGAAGCTTAGTTGAGTCCAGGGATGATGGGTTTGTGTTCACCAAACCTATAAAAGTTTAGACTCAGCGCTTGGTTGAACTTGAAAGTGACGAATTTGGTGGTTCATGAAACCTATAGCATGAGGGCTCAATGTTTAGTTGAGCTAAAAAAATAATGGGTTTGGCAATTCATTAAACCTGCATATATCTAAGCTCAATAATTAGTGAAGGTGGTTCATGAAACCTATAGCATGAGGGTTCAATGTTTAGTTGAGCCAAAAAAATAATGGGTTTGGCAATTCACCAAACCTTCATATATCTAAACTCAACAATTAGTGGAATCCAAAGATGATGAATTATCACCCAAAATTTTATTTATTTCTTTGTAAAGGAGAACTAAGAAAAAACAAAAAATAATTATCCATCCTTTTTCACTTAAGTTTTTGTATATTAGAATAATGAATTGATTGATTATTGAATATTAGGAAGAAATTTAAATATAATCTCATTTATTTTTAAGAGATCATTATGAAAAAAAATGAATTAACATAATATGATATGTTAGTTTTTTTCAAATTTATGTCTATGGAATAAATTAGATGGGGTTTGGGTTTTTCAAATGAGAGCATTTCTATTTTTTTAAAGTATCTAATAATATAATTAAATTGAAGAATAATTACATTCTGATGATAATTTTTTGGTCAAACCGTATTAAATGAAAATCAATTTAAGTTTCCAATTTTTTTATATATTTAAGTTTTCCCTCCTATTCAAGTTTTCATATTTGAATTTTTATTGTTTTAATTTGTTGATTTGTTTTTTGACCTTTTTTTTTTCAATTTATAACACCTATTCTTTTTATAATATATATATATTCCGGTGAGATCATTTTTTGTCACGTACAAGTTAGAGACCTCACGTGGTAGTTGAACTCAACTACTTCAGCAATTGCAAAGTCAATTGTCGGCCGAAACTAAATAGAAAAATAAAATAAAATTAGACACTCAAATAATTGAATAAAAGTTCTGAATAAAATCAAAGAATAACTAGACTTGATTGTCTAGTAGTGAGATAATTTTCGCTTTTAAATATATTTTATTTAAAAATATTATATTAATATTTTTTAATGTTTTTTTAATAAATTCGATGTTCTCATATATAAAAATAAAAAGAATATTATTTTAATATATTTTTAAATAAAAATTACTTTAAAAAAATATTTCATATTATAATACCAAACACACAAACATACTTCCAGAAGTACAAGTTGGGCTAATTTTCTTCCTACCTTCAAGGTTATTTTCTATATGATAATAATTACATGCATATCACATAATTGATTTTGGTGGTTTGGTCATAAAATATTACTAGAATTAAGACAGATTGACAACTTTTTTATTTTGGAAGAACAATATTAACTTAATTATATAAGATCAGGCCGGCCCATTCCCCCACAACTTGAGCTAATTCCACAAATATTAATGTAAATACCCAGGTTCTTTATTAATTTGGTCTTGATAAGCTGCTATTATTATTATTATTATTATTATTATTATTATTATTATCAATGTTAACTTTTGTATTAATTAGATTTTAATTGGATAAGCCGAGTTTTTAATCGAGTTAATCAATTCAATTATTTAAATTTAAATTACAACCAAATCAACTTGCAAGGTCATGTTAGTGCTAATAAAGGATTAATCTGATCATTTTATAAAAGATTAAGGACTTACTTTGATCTACTCTTGCACAAGGTGTAGATAGGCTTAGCATTCTCATTGAGTATTAAGAATAAGCTAACCATCTAGGTGGTGACCAAGTGGT